CTTTTACCTGGGAAAGACATTTCAGATGGCATTAGGTTGATTTTTAGTGACTTAGATACCTTGGTGATGGCCTCTCTGGTAGGTAGAGTGAGGACATTTGTTCTGTATGCTGATCATGATGACTCTCTAGCTAGCTTCGATTGGGATGACATTGTGGCAAACCCAATAAGGTCAATGCCCAAGGTTATGAGCCCCTGTAGAGTGGGAGTGCAGAACAGGAACATGAACAATATTCCTGATGACGTGGATGCAACTTATGAAGATGATGTGCAATATAATTCTAGTGAAGATGACTCGGATTTTGAAGATAGTGATTATGATCTGGATAATAAAGATGATGATCTATTCATGGATAATGTTGATGACCAAGTGGTTGATCAAGGAGTTGCCAAGGGAAAGAAGATACCCAAGGGAAAGAGAGCTCAAGTTGTGGTGGGCAGAGGTGATGAGGATTTCTCAATTGATGATGAAGGGTTAATGGTTCCAAACTCTGATGTTGAAAACAATGTCACATTCAATTTCAAGTCATTCAAGCATGAAGACTTGGTCAATCTAGTGTTCAAAGTAGGAATGATCTTTGAGTCTGTAGAGTTGCTAAGAAAGGCTATTACAGAATATAGTATGAAGCACAGGGTGGATATTAAGATGCCAAGGAATTAGAAGAAGAGGTTGCGAGCCATATGTGAGAAAGGATGTCCTTGGAATTTGTATGCTTTAGATGATAGGAGGGCTCATGGAATGATGATAAAGACTTTTTGCCGCAAGAAGTGGGTATTAAAGAGGTGCACATCCAATTGGCTTGCTGATAAGTACTTGGAATCTTTCAGAGCTGATAAGAAGATGACACTAGGGAATTTTGCTAGAATAGTGCAAAAAGAGTGAAATCTGACACCAGCTAGGACAAAGCTTGCGAGAGCTAGAAGAATAGCAATGAAAAGGGTAATGGGTGATGAAGCAGAGCAATATAAGTTGTTGTGGGACTATGCTCAAGAGCTAAGAAGGACCAATCCAGGTAGCACATTGTATCTAAACCTTAATGGTAATCTTTTTACCTCACTTTATATGTCACTTGATGCTTGCAAGAGGGGCTTCCTTGAGGGTTGCAGACCTTTAATATGTTTGGATGGATGTCAAGTATTGATCCTAATGATTGTATTTATCCAATAGCTATAGGTATGGGGGGATAATGCTAACAGCTGTAGGTATTGATCCTAATGATTGTATTTATCCAATAGCCCTAGCAATTGTTGAAGTTGAGTCACTAGCAACTTGGAAATGGTTCTTAGAAACTTTGAAGGCAGACCTTGGCATTGAAAACACATATCCATGGACACTTATGATAGACAAACAAAATGTGAGAACTTGATGATTCATTGCTGTTATAGTAACTCTTATTGTTATTTACCTGATGTTCTAGACCTAATTCATTTTTTCACTATGTGCAGGGCCTCATTCCAGCATGCAGCAAAGTTTTCCCTGAAGCTGAGCATAGATTCTATGTTAGACATTGTGCAACAACTTCCAGCGGCACTTCAAAGGTGAGAACTTGAAGATACAACTATGGAAATGTGCTAGGTCCACCACTGTGGATCAATGGAATAGAAACATGGGCAAAATGAGGGCACTAAACCAGAAGGCATATGAGTGGCTAGAAAGGATGGCTCCAAACATTTGGGTGAGGGCATTTTTTTAGCACTTACAGCAAGTGTGACATACTTTTGAATAATAGCTGTGAGGTTTTCAACAACTATATTTTGGATGCTAGAGAAATGCCAATTCTCAGTATGTTGGAGCACATCAAGGGCCAACTAATGAGTAGGTACTACAGCAAGGAGAAAGAGGTTGGAGAAGTGTGGCAGGGACCAATCTGCCTGAAGATTAGGAAGAAAGTTCAGAAGAATTCAGAGTTTGCCAACACTTGTTTTGCAGCACCTTCTGGACATGGTATATTTCAGGTGCAGGATAGGGAGTATCGATTAGTAGTTAACATTAGGCTGAAACAATGTGACTGTAGAAGGTGGGATCTCACTGGTATACCTTGTTCACATGCCATTTCTTGCCTAAGGCATGAAAGGATACCCATTGAAACAATGGTCCATGACTGCTATACTTCAGCAAGATTTCTGATTGCATATGGTCCCAAGATCTATCCATGTGCTGACAAGTCCATTTGGGAGAAGGTCCAAGGAGTTCCTGTTGTGCTTCTTCCTCTGTATGAAAAGAAGGTGGGCAGACCTCCTAAGAATAGAAGGAAAGAACCAGTGAAATTAGAAGGAACTAGTGGAACAAAAATGTCAAAGCATGGAATGCAAATGACTTGTAGCTACTGTGGGAATCAAGGCCACAACAGAGCAGGCTGTCAGTTAAGGAAGTCAGGAATAAGGCCCAAACTGCAGCTGTGAGGAAAACTATGGAAGAACCACAAGAAGAGGACGCTACACAGCAAAAGGATGACAACTTAGATGAAGAACCAGTGATTACACAGGTAGTATGGACTGACCAAATATTTTACTCACAATACACCAATTTTACACTATGCTTGCATAGCTAACTGTCTATGCTTGCAGGTTGCCATTCATTTTCCAGAAACCAACACACCACTACTGTCACAGTTAACAAACACTATGCTTTCACAGCTAGAAGAAGAGGTAGGACACTATGCTTTAACAACTACTATTGTCACATTTAACAAACACTTGTTTTCTTTTAGTCTTCACAGACCAGCAGCATGGTGAGGCAACAGGAACCCATGCCAGCCTCTGCATTCATTGGAACAAACCTGCCAACCACAAGACCACTGCCACCTACAACTGCAACAAGGCTGGGGAGGTCAACAACATATAAGAGAAGTGCCAAGTAGGGTGACAAGTCCAAAGGTCAGCAGAAGAAGGGAGGAGACCCTAAGAAGAAGAAGACTTGATGTCCAAAGTCTATAGACCAGTAGTAGAAGATGACAAGTCCTTTTGTGCTTTTGTGTAGTCCTTCTGTGCTTTTGTTCAGCACCAGCATAAGGCTTTAGATTGTGCTATACAATCTTTTATAAAGCTTATCATGGCCCAGAACAATGTTTGAGATGGTGGCAATAGTCTTTTGTTTAGATCATCACATGAATAACTGACCAAAACAGTGTATGTGCATATGGATGCTATTACTGCTATCAGGTGAACTATGAAATAGATGGAAAATTGAGATAAAAAGGATGGTTTCCATTGCTTCTTATGTTCACATTACACAATGAGTCCTCTTACACAGTTGTGACTGAGTTTATTTGCACAACTGAACAACCACAACTAACACAAGTGCCAACACTATACACACATAGAGAACACATATCACATTCAGCAAATGAACTACGTCTTGGTCCTTCCCTTGATTTCCTTGAGCTTTGTTGGCCACTACATTGTCCATCAGGCCATCATAGGGATGTAGGTTTGATTCTCCTTCGGACTAGGCTTCACATGTGCCATTGCCGCCTTCCTTCAACATCTTTAAGATGTGCTTGATGTAGTCTGCTTTCTAGTAGAAAAATGGACACCTGCTGCCATCCCTCTGCCAAAATAACCAAATCCAACTCAATTGCAATAAGGACACAGCAATCCAAGTGCCAAAGATTTGAATCATCAAACCCTAACTCACCTTATGGTCTGGGCAATAGTAGAATACCTTCCCTGCACTCCATGTCTGCGTGGAAACGCGCCTCACCACCATTCGACCGCCACATTCGGTGCACAGGATAAGGGGAAGGCCGCCCGCACGCCTATTGGATCACGACGTGCTCCCTGGTGGCGCCATGGAGTAGATCGACAAGGCGGCGGTGGCAGCAGCTTGGAGAGTGAGTTCGGGCAGAGAGACAGAGACAGAGAAGAGAGGAGGGGAAATGGATGATATGAAAAGAACTGGGTGGCCTCTCTGCTTATTTGCACGTCCCAAACCAGGCTTACGCGCGGCTCACGTGTGCTTGGACACAATCAGCGCCACGCTGTCCACGCCACGTTGGCCAAAACCTTTTCCGATGAGTTATGGACCTAAGTGGCATATTTAAACAACATTAGGGTGCCAGAAGTACGATTTGAGAGTTTGTGGACCAAAGTGGCACCCCAAGACAAGTTCAAGGGCCTACGATGCATTTAACTCTAAAATTATTATAGTCACCGGCCATCCAAACAACTAATTTCGAGTTGGTTTGGAAAAATTTACAGACCTGTAATTTACAAGTGTTTTAGATCAAAAAACCAGGCTTCCAAATAGGTAATTGTTCTTGTTAGGTAAGCGCATTCTTTTGACAAAAATAACTGATTGAGTTTTGTTGTCTTTCCTTCATAGAAGAAGAGGAGAGCACAAGTTGATCTGAATAACCGATTGAGGTTTGTTACTAGCAAGCAGAGATGTGTCTTGATCTGAATATTTCTTACTCCTATATGATAGAATAGAATTTACTAGATGGTATAAGAGGTAACCCCAGCTTCAACGGCAAGACATTTGAGCATTTTACCTGTGTGCCATTATGAGAGATGGTCCTGGCCAACAGGCCACTAAAAAGTTCGAACGCACCCTAATAGCATGACGCTAAAACTTGTTTGCCTTCCATGCCATTCTGTCCTCCTTCTGTTTGATTTCCACCGTTTGACAGCACTGACATGTGGGCCTGATCGATGATAATGTCCGAAATACCCTTCTCTCATAACCCTGTCCTCTCCCTTCTTTCTCTCTCTATCCGGTAGGGCCAAGCTGTAAGTGACCCAGTCACCTTCTTCCTCCTTAGCCTGTCAGCCGAGCTCGATTCTGCCCGCGCGTAGCTCGCCACCGGCCGCGTGTGGCTCCTTTCTCCAGCTCTGCCCCTGCGTGCCAAGGGCCAATGCGCCAGCGAGCTCACTAGCCTGATCCGTTCCCTTTGCCGCGACGTTCCTACCCAGCTGCTGCGGGAGCCGGCCGCGGACACCGCCACACGGTAGCTCGCTCGCTCACTAGCCGGTTACGACATAGCTACCACCACCCCACCAATGGCGCCGCGGCTGCTGGCATGCTTCGGGCGCAGGGGCGGCGCAACGGCGTCGGCGCCGGACAACGCGACCACGGCCGAGGGCGAGCACCAGGAGGCGGCCCCGGGCCCGGTGCTGGTGGAGCTGTTCACGTCGCAGGGGTGCGGGGCGTCGCCCGAGGCGAACGTCGTGGCGGCGCGGCTGGCGCAGGACTCTGGGGACGGTGCCGCCGTCGTGGTGCTGGCGTTCCACGTCGACTACTGGGACTACCGCGGGTGGATGGACCCCTTCGCGTATGAGCCGCAGCCGGTTGCCGATGGCGATGACCAGGGGTCGATGCCGTGGATCCTCATGCTCGGCCAGGCGAAGTTCGCGGAGGTGACTTCGGCGCCCCGACGTCGCGCGCTGTCGGCCATGGCGGCCACGGCCTAACTCTCGTAGTCGTACACGGGGAGTAGCTGCTTCCTGGGCCAGAACGCGTAGGACTCCGCGAGGAGGCGGAACGCGGTGGTCCTGTTGGCGGTGCACACCATGGCGTACTTGTCGTCGGGATCTTGAGCGACGCCATGATGTGCCTGGTGACGGCGTTGTGCCCGCCGCCTCCGGCGTTCCCGCTGAGTGCCGCCCAGCGCGGCGGCCACGGTGCGAGCCAGGCACCCACATCCCGCCGCCGGCCGAGCTAGGCGCAGCACCCCTACAACCCTTCCCAGCACGCACGCGTGCAACGCCGCGCGGGCGGCCGGAGCGAGCAACAGAGCAGAACCATACCTTGCTATGTCGATCTAGCTAGCTTGATGACCTCACCGTGAAGTCATGCCCACACCTTATACAACCATTTTCCTTTACAAAAATAAATTCAGAAATACTTTAGAAATACACTTATATTGACAATTAACCTTCACTGTTCATCTCTATATCTACACTCGTACCAGTAGAACTAAAGGGAGTTTAGACTTTTTCCAGCGCACTTTAACACCGTTAACGCTAAAAGTGGACGGAATGACATGAAAGGCAAGAAAGTTTAGCGTCGTGGCATCAGGGTACGTTCGAACTTTTTGGTAACCTATAGACCAGGACCATCTTTCATAATGGCACACAGGTAAAAGGCTCAAGACATTTCATCTACCTAGCCTTCAATGGAAGATTAGTAAACACATTCTGATTCTGAAAGCAAAAGGAAAATTCTGAAAACATTTTATCTTGGGACCCCTTTATTAGAATATAGGAATTTCACAGAATCATAAGAAAAACATCAGAAACATGAAACAAAAAACCGCGTGCAGAAGAGTCCTTCAAGAGAAGACCTATATGCCTAACGCAGTAAATTTCACGCAAAGTCGAAATCAACAGCTGGTTAGTTTACACCGCAAGATCAGCGTGGTCTGCAGAAACACTGTTTTTCATGTCAACCTGTTGCAACGCATTGCAGATTCTAATTCAAGCTAGCTACGAATGCAGCTGCGCGAGAACCTTGTCCTTGTTGAAGTACGCCTCACACAACAAGAGAACATGACTCGTCTCGTCATGATCGATCTATCCATCTCCTCACCATCAACATGTGACAGACAAGTTTACCGCTGCAGCAATCGCCTAATTGCTTTAGACACCGCAATTACCATCCTGGACTGAATCACCGATCGCTCTCAGTGAAGTTCACGGAACGGAACGGGACGGGACGCTGAATGCAACGGAACGGAGACTTGTCAGAGGCAGCGGCGATCTCTCACCGGCCGCGACAGTAATAATTCTATCGCTTAGGTAAACCTTTATTTTCTCCCCTGTTTTCACCCACCGTCGAAACATGCATTCTCCCTGGAATCCAGGTGCTGCAGTCTAACCGGTCGGATTTGAGCCGTGAACGGGACGTAAAAAAATTGGAGAAACCAGGAAAGAGTTTTCATGGATATATATGTCAGACAATAAGAGGCTGATCGGTACCGATGGCTGCTGCTGCAACAAACCTGCCTACATCTACTGTTCCTTGTAGATGAAAATAAACAGTCACAAGCTCACAGCCGCTTCGTCCATTTGAGTAGCACGGCCAAGCAGGTTCTAAGGGCATGCTTAGATCCTTCGCCCCACACTGTGTCACCTTACCGAGCGGGGATAGCGAGGATAAATGGACGTTTGCTTCCCTTGCTCAAGCTCCTCAAGGACGAGGTTTGCCTCCCTCGTGTGGTCGCCGATCCGGCATGATCCTCGTTTCCTGCACCGGCGCGGGTGAGGCGAGGCGAGGAGAGGTCTCGCTACCAAGCGCATCCTAAATATGTAGTTGGTGCGTCCTAGTGACTTGCTTAGTTTTCCACACAAACATAGGTAGAAACTAATCGTGAAATATTGTGGTTGAGGTACGTTGCAGATATGGAACAGCGCACCAAATTGTAAAATATATATGGCCACACTTCTATTCAATTACATTACAACATGGAGACATTCATAAACATATAGGCCCCGTTCGCTTCGCTGAAAAAACAAGCCGAAACACTATTCCAGCTGATTTGTTGTGAGAGAAAAATATTGTTCCAGCTGAAAAAATAAGCTGAAAAAGACGGATTATAAGAGAAGCGAACAGGGCCATACATACTCACTTTATGGACACATGCGTACGGGTTGAAGTAGAGGTAGCAAGTGATGTTGCATAGATGTAAATGTTCTGCTGATGTTTCTGAGACCTCTTTGTAAACTGGTAACTCCAGTGTGGATCAGAGTTCAAACTTAAACTTTCTAATAAAGTTGGATTGAACCTTTGATCTAAAATAGATGCATACGCACATACGCTATTGGATCTTTGAAAGATTTAACCAACGAATATCAAGATCGACGAGGTGACACCACCAAACATCTCTCTCGTGTGGATATAATTGTGTTGTCGATTCCCAGCTCCTCATAAATCCAATGAGGAAGTGACACCATTTCAAGAATAGTTTACAAGATTACAAAGACAAAATCACATGGGTTTCCTAAATTGTTGATAAGATATCCTCCCTCTGTCGGATATAGCTCATTTTACACCTTTTCAGAAAGATCGGGTAAAGGTTTAAATTGCCCTTCAATTATCATGTCCCATTACGTGCGTGTGGTAGCTGCACCATTGTCCACGTCTCCGGTGGACAGGGGGCGGTACTTGCCAATATTTTTACTCTAGCATCTTGCAAATATATTTTCATGCAACCAAACCAAAACCTTGTTGGATGTATTTTTCTGCACCCTATATCCACCTCAATACACATATGTTGAGGCAGTCGAGGTGAAAAATGACTTAATTTCCACCTTGTACCCCACAACAAGTGCAGGTCCTACTCAAGTAGCCGCTCTGTGCTTGGAAGATGCGAGTCACTACAGCTAGGATCAGCCGATAGAAGAAGAAGAGTAGGAAAAGATCAGTAGGGATCAATAGATCAGACATATTCACATATGTGGGTGGGGTGGTCTAGCAAAAGAGGCAGCGGTGGATACTTTCTGCTGGCCTAAGCTCGCCAAGCACAATACAGTGGACACTAAGCATGGCAAGTTATCCATACCCATTCGACGATTACCCCTCTAATCTATGGGGACGGGGAGGGATGACCTGTTATGTGCCCAACAACATTGCTAGTGGTGGCGGGGGCGCAGTGGCTAGGCAGGAGGAAGGGGACGAGCTCCATGGCGAAGAGGTTCTTGGTAGCAGCATTGGCGTTGGATCTAGATGAGTGGCCTCACATGATGCCCTTGCCCCCTGCAGAGAGGGACGCTATATGAACGGAGGAAGAAGGCAGACGACACATAATAAATGGATTTATAAGGGGAGGTGGTTGGGATAAGAGATTTTTTTTATCTACATAATGGTATTTTATGTATCTTTCATTGTGAATGAGTTATAATAGCTATTGACTGCTTGTGTGGGTCCAGTTTTAGCTAGCCTAAATGTTTAAACACACTAAACAATCATCTATCGTTTAACTAAACAATCATCATTCGGGCGCTATGGTTTTTGTGACTCTATACATTGTGGTTGCTCTAACTAGATATAGGAGTTGAGTTTTTCTCAATCTCATAGAGTTGCTCTAAGTAGAAATGTACTAAAGTTTTTTTTAATCTCCCGCTGACACTCAAAATAGGATAGTAAATAGAGACCCTTCTCGGTTACCCGTGTTCCATTGCTATAGTACTATAAAGTACATCAATCCAAGATACTGCATTTAGATGCTCATCCTCCCTCGTTAAGTCGTTCAATGCTGCCCAATTAATGGCATAGCAGGGTTGTAGCGTGACAACTGTGTCCAGCTCGACCGCGTGGCCGCCTGACGTGTGCACGTCCGCGTACGTACGCGCTACGCAGGTAGGACGTAGGAGTACCAGTGTACCAGGTCAGGTACTATATACAAAAACGCACGTATTGTACTGTATTCGTCTACGCCACCACGTCCGCACGCACGTCCAGGCCGGCCGTATGCATCCAAGAATTCACTCCCACGCAAGTCAAAACTCAAAACTGAGCTGGTGGACACCGATGATCGTAGCTTAGCCACACTGCAGTGCGGTGCGCTGCAGCTGATCACCAGCTCAGCCACCCAGCTGCCGACGTGGCGTGGCCATCGCCACCGTGGCACGACCAGGCGGCTGTCACGCACAACGCTTGGGCTTGGCCGGGCCCTTTGCCTTGCCGGGAGGGGCAGCGCCCTGTTCAAGCGAAAGGGCAGGGCAGGGCGAGCCCAGACCAGAAGGCAGAAGCCAGCTGCCCAGCCCAGCCATGGTAACTGCGGTAAGCGCGAGCATCAGCTTTCCGCGCTTAAAAATAAGCTAAGCTCCTGTAGTACGAGCATCGGCATCAGCATCAGCATCTCCGGAAGAAAAGGAGCCTTCCAAAGCTGCAGAGAACTGTAGATGGAAGGCGAAGATGCTGCAGCCTGCAGCTAGCTACGTGAGGAATGTAACACTTTTGTCACCACTTGATCATGGGGGTGGGGGCAGAACAGGACGGGACACGCCAATCAGGATTCCCCCCTGTTGCTGCTGAATCTGAACAATAAGTTAACTATACACTTGATGATAGAAAAATGGTAGGGAAATGGAACGGAATATATATGTGTGCTGGACTTGGACTGACCAGCTCTGGTTAACGGTAACGGGTTACCTGCACTGCAATTATAATAGACAATTGCCATTGACTGTGAGGTTAAGAACTTGAGACATTTCGTGGTGAGCAGCAAGGTTAGATTCTGCGTGCTGGGTTCCCATTTCATCTCAGGTCATTACAGTCATTTCCTTTTTGTCCTTTCACTGGGGGATTTGGTACAGCACACATGGGATAGTGGAAGCACAGGCAACTAAAATCTAGCAAGGTCAACTACTGCTCGAATTCACACACTGGATCACATTATTACTAACTGGTACAAGTATATGCAATAATTAATTAACCGATAGGTACTTACTCGTCTTACACTTATAAGTAC